ATAATGAATAAATTATAAAATATATTCATAATAAATATAATTATTTTATAAACAAGATATGATAAATTTAATGAATTTAATAATTTAATTTCATAAAATAACATTAATAATACAATAAATAAATTATTTAATAATTATAAATTCATTAATGATTAATTAGAATATTTCATTGATATTCAATATTAATGATAAAAATATTGAATTTATTTGTATTTGTAATAAAATAAAAGAAAATAAATAAATAATAATAAGTTATTAATTCAATATATTGAATTAATAATTATAAAATAAATTGAATAATTAAACATTTCATAATATATTAATTGATTTTATTTATAATGAAATGAAATAATTGATAAATAAGTTAATTAAATTCATTTATTTGTTTTATTTAATTTAAAAAGAGAATAAAACATCAATTAATTTGAATTTAATAAATTATAATATCATTTAAATATTTAAATAAAATAGAAATATTATCATTTGAAATATTCAAATATTCTATTATGTTTAATGATTTTGAATATTATGAAAATAAATATATTCATTTTTATTATTTATTTTCAAATTATATTATTATTTTCATATCATTAATATCAATGAATATTTTGTAACTGAATAATTATTGTTGTATAATTGAAATATAAATAAAATATTCATATTTAAATATTTAATTTTGATTTATTAATCATATTTTATATCATAATATTATTGATATTATGTTATTTCATTATATTTTAAATATATTAATATTCAAATATCACAAATTAAATAATTTCAATGTTAATCATAAATGATATTATTATTATTGTTTATATATCATGTATTTATTATATCATCATTATTTATTATTCATTATTTATTTTATATATTTGTATTAATATTAATATTTTAATACTATATTCATATTATCAATTTATTCTATTTATTTATTATTTATATTTCATTTATTCTTATTTATATTTCATTTTATATTCTCATATTTCAATATTTTATATTTTGAATATTTCTATTTCAATTATTTATTTCATATTTTCTTTTTATTATATTTTCTTTCTTATCATCAATTATCATATTCATTTGTATTTCATTTTTTATTATCAATTGATTTGATTATTTCATGTTCAAATATTCTATTATCATATTTGTATATTTAACTTCTCATTTGATGTTGTATTTTAAATATTTGATTTTGAATTTATCAATTTTATCTTATTTATCAATATTTGTTGTATTTCTTTCTTATTCATTTTAGATAAATCATAAATTTCATATGAATATTGTTGATATACATTCAATATTTATTCTATATTATTTCATTGTTGTTTATAACAAAAGATAAAATCAATTCATTAAAATGATGAATAAAATATGATTATAATACTTTCATATTAACAAATTAATGATTACCATTACATCAATGATATAAATCAATGTTATTAACAATAATATTATCTCATTATTTATCAAAATCTAATTTAATAAAATGATGAAATGAAGTAAAAAGAAGTTATTCATAAATGTATTTAAACTAATTTTATCAATAATCTAATAAATCAATATAGATATAATATCTGTTTAAATTAAAACATGATAATGATGAATAAATGAATAAAAGAAATCATAAGAAGAAATTAATAAAAAGAATAAATAAAGAATATAACAAGAAACAAATAAATAAAAATATCAAATAAGAAATAAATGATAAATAAGAAATAAACGAACATATTTAAATGAATTGAAATGAATAAAATATAGAAATAAAAGAATGAAATAAAAATAAATAACAAAAAGAATAAATAAATGTTATTAAAAACATAAAATGAACTTAATAATAAATATGAGATTTAATCAATAACAAAAATAATGAAATGTGATATATAACAATAAAATAATAATGTTATTAAAAATAAAAACATAAAAATAAATAATAATGGGAATAACATCAACATCAAATAACATATCAACTGATAAAACAAAACAAATAATTAAACAAATAGAAGAATGGACAGAAAGAAGAATAAATGATGTTATATTTAATTCAAATATTGATAAGTGGAATATGTGTACATCAGTATTTAATCAAAGAATAATAAATAAAGAACATATAATAATTATTATTGAAGATACAAATGGAAATAAATTTGGAGGATATGTTAATGTGAAAATTGATAAAATTGATAATTGGATAAATGATCCAAAATCATTTTTATTTTCAATAGAAACAAAAAGAAGAATACAAAGAATGAAGAAATTTGATATTAAATATCTAGAAGATGCATTTTGGTTATATGACCAATCAAGTAATTATTTGTTTACATTTGGATGTGATATTTATGTTTATAAAGAAAGTTATAAAACAAAATCATATTGCAAACAACGTTCATATGAATATAAAGGAATAACAAATGCACTTTGTTGAAAACAATTTCCAGAATATTTCACACCACAACGAATTATTGTAATTGAAATGAAATGATTTTTATTAATTATTATTTATTTGAAATATAAAACTAAAAAAGAATATAAAATAAAATCAATAAATAAATATGAACATTTCATCTATCAATCAATAAAACAATTAAATGATGAAAATAACTAAGAATATAAAATAAAAAGAGATAAATTAGAAATGATAATAGTTCAAGAAATGAAAGGATGATGTGATTCATTATCTATAAAATAGAAAATAATGAGAATTGATTGTTCAATAACCATCAATATCTTTAATACATTGAAAGGTACAATCAAACTAGAAATAATTTATTCAGAAATTAAAGAACAAAAAAAATTAACATTGCGTCAAATAATATTAATATACAATTTGTATGTATTACCAAAGAAAGAAGTGAAGAATGGAATATTAATGAGAAATCAACTATTAGAATGTTACTTGATCATGTATGTACTATTAAAGAACTATCACAAACTGAATGACTAGTTATTATTGAATATTTACATTAATGAGAGATTTGCATATTCAGGAAGAAAGTAACAAATAATATTTGGAAGTATTAGCACTCCAGTAACATTTAGTTCACATACTGAAATATTTATAAACACAATACATTGAACAATGTCTAGTTAATGATAGAAAATGATATGAAGGATGAGGTGAATCAAATTCATTACTATTCGGATTTGTATGAATTGAAAAATTTAATAGAAGATATACAATGTATTGAACAACACTAACAATCAGATTATGAGATGGTATTCAATATTCTAAAAATTAATAAACATAATAAACATTGATATTTTCAAATTCAAAATAATTAATAAAAGAAATAAAAAGAACTGAAAAAAGAATAATAAAAAAATGGATAATGATGATAGATTTAATCAAGTCAATACTCTCATTAGAAAAGAAGGAATGACAATCAAAGGATATTGTGTAAATGATAAAAGAATGATTTGTTTCAGTGATAATAATAGAATCATTTATTATAACATTGATACACAAGAAAGTATAATTCATACACCACCACCATTAATGAAATCAGCACCAATTATTAGTATTGATTGTTATGAAGATTTAATACTCACAATTTCAAGTGATTTCACTGTATTAGTCATTGAAATTGAAACATATCGAGTGTTTTATCGACAAGTGATTTCAGGAGCAACCAAAGGATACTTTTTATCAGCAAGAATCTTTACATTATATTCAAATGATAAAACATTGAGAGTAATTGAATATCCTGATACATCGATTCTTGGATTTGGACAACGAGGACATGTTGATGTATTATCAAATTCATGTTTAACACATGTTACAGCAAAAACAAAAGAAGTCGGACAATTTATGTTAGCAACAAGTAAATCAGTATTTTTATGGTTATGTGATTTAAATGATGAGAAAATGAATAGAAATGAATCAAAATATCAGAGTTGTATTCCACCATTCACATGTCCACCAACAGAATATTATCTGTATAAAAAAATCCAAAGTATTTCATCAACACCTATTCTTCAAATTGAAAAGAAGGAAACACTCCCACATCTTTGTATATTACATAACAACACAATAAGTTTGTATGAAGAAAGATTTGATGAAGGGAAATTTAGTATTGAAATAATTCAAGAAATCAAAGTTAAATCACCAATATCTATTATTTGCTGTGACACAATCATTTTAACACAATATAATAATCAAATTAAAGTTAATCAAGGGAATAGAGAGAAAGAAATAATAAATAATACACCAATAGAAGAAATTCAGAATAATGATAAAATGATAGTAATACTCACAATGAATAGATTCAAAAGTATAGACATTCCAACAGAAGAAGAAATGATAGATGAGATAGAAAATGAAGAAGAACAAATAAAGATATGCATTGAAAGAAAAGGAACAATGAAAAGAAAAGGAAAAGAAATCATAAGTAAAATGGCAAAAGAAGGAAAAGATTGTTGGGAATATGCAAAAGAATTAGAATGTGTTGATACATTAATTGAATCCACTCCTGATGAACAAAAAGAAATAATAATGAATAAAATAATTTCAGAAATAAATGAGAAAGGAAAGAAAATTGAAATAAATAAGAAAAAAGCATGGGAAATATTTGTGAAGGGATTGAAAAATAAAGACAGTACAATAAGTGAAAGAATAATCGGATGTTATTCAAATATATTAGATATTGCATCTGTGATCAGTATATGTATTGAATAATCAAGATATTCTACTATTTTCACAATGTATAGGTCATTAGGGAAAAAGACAATTGAAGCATTTCGCATTGTTTCACATAACATTCTCAAATATGGAATCACACCAACAAGTTTAATTGAAGAAAGCATGAAGAACAATATTGAAATGCTTATCACAAATGCAGAAAGATGTAATGCAGAAGGAGATGATAAAGAAATAATTAAGATAGTATTTAATAATACATATGGAATGACATTAATTGAAGCAGGAATTATTATTTGTAAAGACAAAACAATAGATGTGTTGAGAGATATTGGAGAGAGAAGTTATTGAAGGATTAATAGAAACAATGAAAAGTCCAATCACAGAAGTTAAAGAAAGTGCAGCACGAGAAGTGATTAAAATGAAATATGGAGAACGAGGAATGAAAGAAGCTATATTTAATGTTTTAACATCAAAAGATTACAATAAAGAAGATGAAGAAATGTGTAATGAAGGAATTAAAGAATGTGTTAAAGAAAGAAGTGGAAAAGAAATAGATAAAATAGTTAAAGCAGCATTCACAGTTAATAATAAGAAAATATTACGGAGATTAAATGAAAATGAAACAGCACGTGATGCGTTAATGACAATGGTTATTATCCAAAAAGGAGATGTATGGAATGAGATAGAAAGATGGATACGAAAAGGATTAGAACGAGAAAGTATTGAGAAAACAGTTAAAAAATTCACAAAAAAAATGTATGAAATGGATATAAAGAAAACAATGAATATTGGAGTTAAATATTTTGCAAGTTGTGGATTATATTGTTTAGTTCAACCAAACACACCATATGAAATCATTTATGAGTATGGAAGAATAATGATGAATGAAGCAAATCCAATCATTCAAAGAAATATGAGATGTATTGTTATGAAAGTGATTGAGAGTTGTTATGAAATGAAGAAAGACACCACAGAAATACGACAAATCATCGATAGAAAAACATGTGATATGGATAAAGTTATTGAACTGGCATTGAAATATAAAGATGAAAGAACAATATTGATGATTAGAAGAAAGGAGAAATTAAAGAATGTTTTAGAAATCTTCAAAGCAGAAGTATCACATGTTTAAATGAAATAGACAAACAAAATCAAAATCAAAATCAAAATGAAGAAGAAAGAAAAGAAAAGGAAGAAGAAATAACTAAAATGTATGAAGGAATTATGGAAGATCTCAAAGAAGTAAGTGAAACATTTCGATTAAGAGATATAACTAGAAATGAAGAATGTGTTGAAGTGATGAAGAGATGTAATGAAATAATGAAGAGAAGAAATGAATGTTATGAAGAATACAAGAAAGTGTATCGAGAAATAGTTGAAATAGAAATTTCAAATATACCAATAAAAGAAGGAATTGAATTTTGTTGTAAAATCACAGAAGGAGTTTTATTAAGAAAGGTGTTAAGTGATTTAATCAAACAAAGCCAATCGAAATTAACAATGTACAAAACACTTCAAATGATTTCAAATGAACAACTAAACCAAACAATACAACAACATAACAAAGAATTAAAAAAAGGAATTATTACAACAAAAGAATGTGTTGTTTGTCATAAAGAAAAGGATGAATTAATCAATGTATTTGGATGTGGTCATAGTTATCATTCAACATGTTTAAAATCATCAGGAATATGTTTAGAATGTAATCATCTTATGAAATAATTAGGTTTAATCAACAACGTGATTACATTGTTGTTGTTATATCATTTGAAATGATTATTTGACAATAAATCACATTATTTATTATTATCATTTCTTGTTATCTTTTTATTCATCATAAATCATTTCTTTTGATTAATTGATTGATTTTGATTAACAACATTCATTATGATGAATGGCAAGTCATTTGACCACTCTAAAAAACAAGACCAATAAGAGATAATCAGAAAATGAAAGATGATAGTGAAAAGTGGATGTTTCATTCAAATTGTTTATTTATCATAACTTAAAAATAGAAAAATAAAAAAATCGAATAATTACTATTTTTAAATTAGATTTTTTTTTTAAATCTTAAAAATATTTTAAGTTGAAATAAAATAAAAATGGAAAATACAACAAGAAACAATAAATCAATAATGAAATTAGGATATAATGAAATAATGATAACATCAATGTATTTTAATGACATTAAAGATTTTATTAATTTAGAAATAGGAATTAAAAGATTTCAAGGAAATATTGAACGATTTCATTTTAATCCAATTCCATTAGATGAACATTCAAGAAAATTGTTTCCTAATATTGAAACATTTCATATTTATAATAAGTATGATGAAATATTTAATGATGGAAAAATATTTAAAAAAGTAATATGGTATGCTATTAGTTATTCATTATATTTAAAAGAAAAAGAAACATGGAATGAATGTAAAAATATAGAATATACAAAAGAAGATAGAGAAGAATATGGAAATATAATACCACCAGAAGTTGCATCAATTATATACGGATGCTTTGAAGGAGATGAAGAACTAACATCAATCACTTACCATCATTAATTAGTGAAATAGGAAATTATTGTTTTATTGGATGTTCATCATTAACATCAATGAGTATAGATAATCTACAATACATTAGTGAAGAAAGAATATTTATGAATGAACTAGTGTTAATTAGTATTGAAATACCAGATAATCTAGTAATCAATGGAAAGAATATTGAAAAGAAAGATATTAATGAATTTATTGTTCCATCTTCAATTACTAAATTAGGTGATTGGTGTTTTGATGGATGTTCATCATTAACATCAATCACAATTCCAACAAGAATTATTAAAATAGGAGGTGGTTGTTGTTTTTATGTATGTCCATCATTAACATCAATTAATATACCATCATCAATTAGTAAAATAGGAGATTGTTGTTTTTCAAAGTATAAATCATTAACATCAATTACTATGCCAGCACCAATTAGTAAAATAGGCACTAGTTGTTTTGAAGGGTGTTCATCAATAACATCAATTACTATTACATCATCAATTACATCATTTGGATATAGATGTTTTTATGGATGTGGATGTGAAGAAGAGTTAAAGAAAAATAAAACAATACCAAGAAACTGTTTTGATGCATGGCAACAAATGAAATAAGAAAAAAACTACAACAAATGAATATAATATAATTTGAAGAAGAAATAAATGACAATTGATTATATTTGATATTCTTTTCCATTTCTCTTATTTTCTTATTCTTTTCTTTCTTATCATTTATTCTTTTGTTTGCTAATGAAATAAATTTGATGATAGCATGTCAGAGACGCTATATGGAATCTTAATATCAAAACTTGAATCACTAGTTATCTTCTGGTTATGTTATTGCCTTTAGTGAGTCAGGTACTATCAAGGCTAATTGGTTATTATTTATTATTAATATTATTATGGATGTTTATTAATGTATTATTTATTATGGTGGTAGTATTATTTATTTATCAACATGCAACTACATTTATTAATGATAGTTTTGAGTTGAATACATGGTGTATTATCAAGAAAAAAAGAGTTTGTTAATTAGTATCGATGATAAAGGAGATAATACATAATCATAGTGTTATTGATATGTCCAACATAAAATAACATTATAAACAATGATGAGTTTAAATACTCATTAAATTCAAATAAAAATCAGACAGCAACTTAAATGATGAACTAATTAACTGGAGAATGATTAAAAACAAGATTTGAATAGAAGTAAAAAAAGCTGAAGAAACTGAAACAATCATTTCTCAACATGATGAAATCATATCATAAATAATTCATAACTAATTTCTTTTTGCCTTTTTATTAAATACCTCTTTTAACTTTTCATTTGTTTTTTATCATCCTTTTATTTTCTTATATTTTTATTTTGTTATTTGTTCTTCTCACTTTATCAGATTACATTTAGTATTACCTCCTTCCTCACTTTTTTCCTCATTATTTCAATTCTCTCTTCTTATTCTTTATCAAAATCGTTCATTGTTATATATAACAATATTTTTAATAATATCTAATTCATCAATGTCATTATATGATAATTAATTCATTCATAGTGTTATGTTTCATTTGTGAATAACAGTATTTCTTTTTGTTTTTGAATTTATCAACGTTATGTATAACACATAAGAACAGAAGAATGAATAATTTATTCTGATATGTTAATTCTATAACGGTGAATATTTATAAAAACGTAGTTAAAACAACACTAAGAAAGTGTTAATATTATAGTAAATAAATGATTGAATGATTAACTGAAGTAATGATATATAGAATAATAATAAAATTAACTAATTAATAATGATGATATTAATATCTAATCAATGAATAAATGATGATATAATAAATAAAAGTACCAATTTTATATACAAAACAATAAACAATGAACAAATAATTAATGGTATTAAAATGATAAATGATTAAACTTTATAAACATAGCACTTTAATGAGTTATGTTTTGTTTTATTCATGAAAAAAAAAACAATAGAGGATAAAGAAATAAAATATATTGAATTAACATTTGATTTTGAATCAACTTAATAAACAACCATTCTAACTAATCAAATAAAATGACTCTATTATTAATTTGGATACCAGTTATAAGTTTATTTAACAAATTGTTATTCATAATGAAATAATTATTGATAATTTGGAAATTGTGAATAAAGGCATTGAATGAATACAAATTATGAAATGATATTAGTAAATGTTTCTACTCAATTAATATAAGTAATGATAACTATTATATTATTAATACATTTATATGTTTCTTTAAATCAAATTCATTATCTTATTATAAAAATGAAACAATAAATATTATCTATAAAATAAGTATGTTAATGTTATGTGAATTGTTTGCGGCCTGTTGTATTATCCATCCATTGTTCAGGTGTATATTTAACACAACATAACCAACAGAATTTATATCCACATTTACGTGTCATATGATTACACCCTCCATTCTTTTGGATTTTGTCACCACAACTTGGACATTTTTTTGTATAACTATTAATCCATTCCATATCTTCTTGTTCCTGTTGTTTGTGTGTTGCCCATTCATCACAAATTTTTCCTTCATGCCATTGTTCTCTACATTTTCTACAAAACAAATACATACATTTGGACATGTAGTTTTATATTCTTTATCAAACGATATCATTTCACATTGACATTTTGGACATTCACAAATATTATCTTCAAATGTTTTAAACGTGAGTCGTTCAGAATACATATTGAACATATTAATGTCTCTAATTAAACAATGTGTCATAATGTCTTCTATTTTCACAGTACAAAGACATCCTTGTTCCATACAATAAACTTGGTGCCAATCATTTTGAATTTGTTGTATAATATTTTCTCTCCAACAATTTATACAAAACCGATGACCATAAGTATTTATAAATGTCTCCTTACAAGTGTATTCTTCATAGCAAATATTACAACAAAATATTTCTTTATTATTCTTTTCTTGTTCTTTCCTACCATTTTCAACACATTCACAAAGTATTTCTTCTTGTTCTTCTTCACTCAATTAAACAAGTTCATTAAGATCAAGTTCATATATTGAAGAACCATAATATTCAATTATTATCATATTAATAATAAAAGTTACCTATTTGATATAAGAAATTATGTATACCAAAGAAATATTAAATAAAGTAGTTCAAATGAAATGTTAATGGATAAATTGATAAATAATTTAAAAATTATAACAAATGAATAAAAATTATCACTGTATAATACAAAATTTCTTCATAAATATACATGTATACATCAAAAATAATATTTAACTTTCTCATAATTCTTTTAAATAACACTACCATGATAATTATTATAAAAAATAATATGATGACAATCAAAAATAAACATTGATTGAATAATTGTATATAAAATAAAAATATGTTTAATGAAATATTATCTAGTGTTTGTATTGATTTAAAATATTAAATAGTATCAATAAAAAAAATTATAAAGATAAACTAAAACAAAATAGTTTAATATTATAAAAAAACATCTTTCCATAGTACAAAAAAATACAATAATGTATTATAATATAATAACTAATGTGATAAAATAATCAAACTAATTAACATACAATCAATTATTATATTACAAAAAGAAAAACCAAGTATTCTAAAAAAATACCAAAACTCACTTTTGATAATTTTATATATTCTGAAATAAACCAAAAACTTAATCTAAAAAATGATAAAAGACATAAAGAAATACAACAAAAAGAGAAGGGTAAATACTTACAAACAGACATAATTGATTTAAAATACTTTTGATATTTCTAAAACATCAGTGCACCTTTTTTACATCAATAATTTATTCTATTAATAGGAATTAAAATAAATAAGAAACAACTTAAAACTTTTCATTCCTTGAATGTTTCAGCAAAGAATATTTTTTCAAAGACAAAATAAATTCAAAAGAAAGAAAAATAATAAAAAATAAATTAATTCAAAGAAAAGATGTTTCGAAGTTTTTAAAAAGAAGAATAAAAACCAAAAAAATGGACCAATGAAAACAAAGGACAATACAAAACATGAACTACAATACAATTGTTATTTTCATGAGAATTCGAAACAAAAAAAGAAACCAAAAAAAGGAGAAAAATTCAAAAAAAAAAAAAAACGATTTCGTATTAACAAGGAAAGAGTAATAATAAAAAATAATAAAAGAATAAAAATGATGAAAAAGAAAAGAAAAATAGAACTTAAAACAAGAGAATAATTAATTTATACCAAAATGAATATGAAATGTAATTGTTTATTTTGCAAAGAATTTTCTGATTCTATTAAAATTCAGAAAAGACTTGCATGGACTACTCTTTGTCGTTTAGTATTTTTGTCTATTTATCAACGTAGTCCAGTTGATTTTATTAATGTTCGAGATATCTTTAAATTCTTAAGTGTTCATTGGGATATATTATCTCATTTAGAGCAAATGAAGAAAAAAAATTGGAAGAAATCAATTCTTGATGCTTTAAACCATTCTGATTATTTTGAAAGTGGAATGAGTCAATATCACACAAATGGTTATTGGAGATTAACTGATAAGTCTCTTCCAAATGTAAAGAATAGAAAAAATAAGGAAAATGATGTAAAAATATCTTCTCCACAAATTCCATCAAATCCAATTAAAACTGAGATTGATCTCTTACAAGACAAAACCGAAAATAAACCACTTAAAAGACCTCAACATGTTTTCGATATCCCAAAAGAAGAAAAGAAATCTTTTATCGAAACTACTCAAAGTTTTACTCCTTTTTCAAGTTATTATCAAAATCTATCTTCTTATTATCCTCCTTGTGACCCTTTTTATGATGAGCCACATTATCCTTCTTATCAATACCCTTTAAATTAATTCTGTATTTTTGATATGATTTATTTTTCTTCGTTAGATGTTAGTAATGACAGTTTTGGAATAATAAGAAAAAAGTTGGAACAAAAAATTGTAGAATTTTTTGGAATAATTTAGGTTGTCTGATTCTGAGATTTGCTCGTTTCTTAATGTTTTCTAGTTGCTTATTTCCCAGAATACTTGCTATCAAAATGATTGAATTGGAAACACATCATTGTTTAAACAGAGATAAAGAAGTATGTTGGAAGACTTGGCAAGCGTTAAAGAAGTTATCATAAGCATCAGAATCACAAGAAGAAGAGATAGAAGCGTCGAGTTTGGAGAAAGCGAGATTTAGATCAAGAGAGTTTGAGTAATTGAGTAAAAGAGAAGATTTCAAGTGGTGATATATTTTAGGATAAAGAAGAAGAGAAGGTAACAAAGCTTTTGAAATACAGTATAAGTCCATGTTTCCATTAATTAGACTTTGAAGGAGAATTTCGATGATTTTATTGATTAAATCCAAATGATGAGACAATAATAAAGAATGATCTGTTGAAGGAGTAGTGAGGATTCTTACAGATTTTAGAAGATGACTTTTAAAAGTGAATAAGATAATTTGTTCAAAAACAGGGATAGCAGATTCTTCACCAGATTGTAAAGCGTTTAATAAAAATAGTAATGTTTCATGAAGATGATTACCAAAGAAGTCATCACAGGATACCATTCCAATATTACAAAATAGAGTAAAAATCAGTTTAGTATATTTTGGATAAAGACTAACAAAATCCCATTTGTGTGATATACAAATAGAAATAATTGTTTGCATTAATACATGATGAGTTCGATCATTATAAACATATAAAGCACCAAAAGGGATAGTATCACTTGATAAAATAGAATTAATTGATTGGATACAATCTTCTAAATAAGATACCATCTCGTCTTCATTTAATTCAATAATAGAAGGTAATATTTTCATTAAAGATTCACAAATATCATGATATAATATTAATGCATCAGAGTTTGTATAGAATAAAGTGATCTAAAAGTTTAATATTTGCAATATCAGATAGAAAGAACAATAAGATAAAGATGTATTTTTATAAGATAGGTATATTTATGACTAAATCATAATCAGATATGATACTTCAGAGTATGATAAAAGAAGATGATAT